GACGTTCTCCCGTTCCTTTTTCTTCGTTTCCCGTTGCTGTTCGTTCCTTCCTGGCCGTAATCCGGGCTTCAACGAAAGGGTCTGTTTGTCTCCCGATGGTTTCGATTTCCTTTTTTTCAAGTTTCATTCGCGAGCAGATTGATATCGCGGATGCGAAAATGTTGGAACGTTTTATTTTTTTTTTTAGTGGAAAGAGTGATTTTATCTGACTGATCGTCAGATTGCAATACATATTCCTGGGAGCATATAAATTGTTCGAAGGGACTCCGAATTAATGAATAATAATATTCGAATATTCATATGTGGTAATAAAATCACTGGTACAGTCATAGTTCTATCTAGAAAGATCGATAAGAATGCAAAACTCCAAAGTACAAAAGAACCCTCCGACTTCGCGTTGGTTTACAAAGCAGACAAACTTTTTCTTCTTACTTTCGCAACAATGTATCACTATTTTATCAACCGTGTATACTTGGTTGCATATTTCAACGGAAAGCAAAGCTTACCGATAACCACAACACGGGGAAAGTTCTCGAAGCACCGTACTACGCTTCTTCGATCCACAATTTTTAACAAAATTAATCTCTTGAGTCAAATAACTCCTTGACAACTATCGACTATCACATGGAATTTTATTTATAAAAGCTTGACACGTAACGAGTAAGCCAAACAAAAGTTTCAGGGTATTTTAAAAAAAAAATCGTAGGTAAAAATTTGTGGGTCGAAGTATGAATCGTGGATCGGCATCGATGGCGATCAGAAACGTAGCAGTAGGTTCCAAGCTGCACGTAGACCGATGGCAACCCCCGAGCAACGGGCTGGGTAAGGGTTCGGGAGGGGTGGCCGCGGGGGTTTCGAGAGCTCTACGGGCCGCTTTCGATTCATTGTACAATAATATGACGGAAATGTCAGTCAATTAATAAGCATACCGAACCTGACTAATTTCCGCCTTTGTTCGTTCCGCAGGCCGGGATGGATGAATAAGTGGCCATTATGCGGCTTTTATGATTGGTCAGATCCGTATCACGACAGCCGGTTCCGCTTTTAGAAACCCGCGCCGGCACGTCGAAACTTCTCTGCGGCGAACCTTTTTAACCGCGTGCACGTGCCGCGGGAATATCGTTCTCGTTTTCTTCATCCTCCTCCTCCGCCTCTCCCTCTGGCTACGCGCATTTTTTTTTTCATCCCTCCCCACGCGCGGGCTCAGACTTCGCCAGCATCCTTACGCTCACGCTTTGTTCCTCACCTCGCGACCCACGGACCTCTCGCGGCATTTTCTCAACGAACCGGAACACGATTCCTCGGACAGAGGAAAGATTAGGCTTTTGAGGGCATTTCTTCGAGGTGTGGATGACAGACACGGGAATCTCTAGGCTAATATAGACCTGGGAGATTGTTTCTTGAGTAGAGGGTTTCTTTGAGGAACTTAAGACCCTCGAATATTTGGCAGGATGTCTATGAATTGAGGAAAGATCAGATTTTTAAGGGATTTTGTCGAGGACAATCTATCGAGACACAGCTAATTTGTAGTAGGTTTGAATTAGATGTTAATCCTGAGTCTGGATCAAATTTTTGGAAAAATAGCGCGAAATGATGTCGACGGTTAAGAACGCGTGAAAAGTAGAGGCTACCGGATGGACGGGCAGACCCGAAACTCTAGCAGCGTTCAATTTGCATGAGCTCCATCGGCCATTTTCCGTCATCTAGCCGGTCCCTCGCCACAGGAACGTCCATGCAATCTCCTCCATCGTTTCGGGAAGGGGTTGCGAGGTTCTGGAAGAAGGGGCCGCCACCGAGGGTTCGTCTGTGACGCGAGGAGGGTCGGTGGCACGGAATTCCAAGCCCGTGGGGACGGCCAGCGAGATATCCGAGGATATTATCCCTCGGGAAGCCGTGTAATGAAACCGTTCCGGCACCCCCGTGGTATTATCCCCCCAGCAATATAAGCCGGGGTGAGCCGGACAAGGATATAGGTGGCTGATACGTGGCGCAGCTGCACCCCCAGTCCACCGCCACGCCCTCTTTTATATCTCGCCCCCTTACGACGGTGGATAAGTGGAGGCGCAAGATAGTCCGCGTCAGCAAAACCCGACGTCATCGTCATTAACGAATCCACGTAATTGCCTCAGCCCTCCAAGAATCGAGCAGCCGCCATCCTCGCAACCCTTTCATGGCTGGAGCCGCGGGTGCAATGGACGGTCCATGGGGTGGGACGATCCAGCCAAGGAGACACTCGGGGTGAAGTGTCTGCGATTAATATTCGGTCAATCGCGTTGCCTTCTCGATTTTTCCTTTTTGTTCGATGATTTTTTTATTGCAATTCGGTCCTTCCTTGGAGTTGGGCTGGATGTTTGGTGGAAATTCGGAGCGGAAACTGGAACATTAGTTGTCGTCCGATTATTCTTCGGTAAATGTTACGGATTATATTTCGCACGAACAAAGAAATCACAGCCGCGCGCATCCAGCAGTCGATACGGAAACCCCATAAAGATGGTCCAATTTCCAAACGACCATAACTCCAACAATAGCGAATGTATCTCATTGAAATTTAGTCACGAAGTAGAGCTCATGGATACCTACAAAATAGTACCAAACAACATTTCTGTACAGCGTCACACAAATATTTAAGAAAAATCGACAGGGGGTAGGTGCTTAAATATTTCGACGAAAATGAAGAGCCTCAAATCGTCCTGGAAAAATTATTTTCGGTTACGGGGGTCAATTATAATCATTTTTGGTGAATAGACATACCCTCGAATTACTACGCACTTTCGAGAAAAAAATTCCTTACGGAAACTATAATAGCCAGAAATGTTTAGGTGGGTGAAATTTGATCATTGTTACTTTTAGTCACTCCACGTAGATGAAATTATGTATAATAGTTGTGGATAGCAGTATATCAAGTTTCATAAAAATTGAAGACGATTCTTCGAGTCAGAATCACCCTGTTTCGAATACGTAGAACCGATATGGCCAAGCAACGATTGCATGCTTTCTCGAGATCACCGCGATCTACTGCCGGTGCATCTGCATTCAACATTCAATTCTCCCTTGCTCAGTCTCTTCGAACCACCCTTATCCTCGATCAACAAAACGTCCAGCTCCTTCCAACCGACTCCCACAGCCACGCATCATTCTGAATCAACAAAACAATCCGTCAATAAGCTCTCCCAATAGAACCCCCTCCGTGAATCCTCCCACAAGCCTTTCATGCACCAACTCTCCCCGTCCAAGGGAAAAAGTAAGTAGTAATTCTGCCCCCCACCTAGCCCTACGAAAAAAAAAAAGAAAGAAATTAATCTCCGACGATTCGAGGGCGAAAGAAGCAAGGTACAAAAGGGGTCGCAGAAGGTGGAATCGCGGGCGTGTATATATAGAAACTCTTCCCTGGTCTTCGAAGAAGTCTCACGAGCCTGGGCGAGAGTGTTCTCTTGTGTACAGCGCTTTTTCCCCTGTCGGCGGCCTTTGATGATCCCGCGCGCTAGTACAATGCGCGCGGATCGTGCTCGTGCGCGCATTGCGATTAGTATTTAATGCGCACATTGTAGAAGGGCCCCGTTTCCCGTATCAAGATGCGAGGTGGGCCACCGGGGACCAGTTATTAGGCCCCTGACAGGCCCATAATCCCCGGGCCAGCGCTCCTGACGAAAAATATAATGCCTATTAGCTGGGGATCTTTTCAGCCGGGCCGCTCTGGAATATTTTCTTCTGTCTCTTTTCTTTATTTCCTCCTTTGCGACCCCAACCCTGCGATCTCGCCACCCTGGTGGCTCTCTCCGGTTCGTGTCCTCTGTCTGGTACGAGAGGGTGCTACTGGAACACGCGCGCGACCTTTCGAACGGGGATAAGTTTCGACTGATGACAATCTACGGCTAGGATCTGGCATCAGGAATGGGAGAAGTCACAGGTCCGTGAAACAGAGGGCACTTTTTCCCCTTTGTTCGGTCGCGACGGGGGACAATTTCTTCCGATGAGGTGGGTCCTTCTAGCAGATCGTGGTGTTTGATTGCGTTGGTCGAGGTTTGATATTGCTCGATCGCGTACGGGGAGGTATCTGAAGTAGCCTGGCGGAGCTACGAAGCAACCGACGTGTTCGTATTTTGGATGCAGAACGTGGTAGTTTGATCGCGTCGGTCGTGGTTTGATATCGCAGGAGCGTGTACGAAGAGGAGTTTATGCATTTGTTTTTATTAGTATTATGACCCACTCTCCGGACGGAAACAATTGCCCACATGTAGAATAATATTACCCACTTCCCAATTAACCCACTCACATCAGATTGCTGAGACTGGACCACTATGTCGAATGAGTCTGTCATTGTAGCCCAATCACATTGGTCCAACCAACCTGACGTGAAGTGTTTTCTCATGAAGTCAGCATTGAAAAGTGAATTAATCAAAGTGGAAGCAGGCCAGAGGAAAGCTCACGATATAGAATTTGGACTAAATTAAACTTACTAAGATGGCTTGTAATTTGTATTTAATAATTGTTCTTCGTATTAGTTCCTTTAAATTTACTAAATTGTAGAAATAAATCTGAACCGCAGAAAGGGTACAGAACAGCCTCGATTTTGCTCCCCCTTTGGTGCCAGTCGTTCTCTCCCCTGTTTAGGCTTCTAGGAAGACGCCATTTTGTGTGCTGCGTATTTCGCTTCTTTGAGTCGTATATTTGCTCCATTTCGTTGATTGTCGAATAATTCGAATGGATAGCTTTTAGTTTAAATGAATATACGAGTGTCCCGTAGAGCAGTACGTTGCTCGTCAATATTCTTAATAGTTTCTCGTATAGAAAGGTAATTAAATTGCTTGAGTTCGAGTGTTTACGGCTCCGTAAACCTTTTCAGCTAAGCACGCCCTGAAACCGTGTGTTATTTACTCGAATAAATGGTGGCAAACAATTATTTATAGTAACATAAATTTTTGAAATATTTACTGTTTCGTTTGAAATCTGTCGGATGATTTTAATAATTCTAACGTAATTTTTAATGTTGTTTGTTTCAGCCGAGGTCCGCAAGCTGGCAGAGTCAAGTGAGTCACGACTACTAATTATTTTCGAAGTTCAGGCAGTGTTTTAAGCGAACACTATTATTTTAAACGATCGAAGAATTGTTTTCAAAGATTTCGTACACGATTAGACAGAAATTAACGAAAAAGTTACAATAGCTTTTTCGATCGACTTTCGTGGTAAAATGTTTTCGGTGACGCTAATTGCGAGCTTCCTCGAGGCACGACGTAAAAAAATATATGGCAACAATCGATGATGCGCATCCACGAGACCGTTTCGTTTCGAGCGGATGTCAGGCATTACTTACAGAGCTTCCAGGTTTTTGCCTCCATTGTGCCGGACCGATAGCAGAAGAGCGAATATTGCGTAACATATTCCGACCCGCTTGGGCATGAAAACCCCTCCTCGGTTATTATATTTAATGGAGCCGCGGCCGATTCTGCAACATCTGCCTCCCGTGGCGCGGGCAGCGCGTGGCCGCTTAAAAGGGAAACCCCCCCGTCCGTCATCGATTATTCCCTAAAGAAGACAGGAACCGCGTTGAACTTGTTCCCGAAGTTCTCGTGTATCGCTGCTTCGAGAATAGTTTCAGTTGCCTCGAGGGCCCCAGATACACTTCCACCCAAGTTTCCCTTAATTTCTTCTACCTTTTTCTCTCGCTATTGTCCCGGCGAATAAAAGAATCGCCGTGCACCGAGTCCCGCCGAAAAACGGGGCATTTGATCGTGAAAATGAATCAAGTTATCTGGAGTCCACTAACATCGTCTGAAATTATTTTATCAAAACATGTGTCTTTTTCAAATTTGTATTTAACTAACAAGAGGACACTGTTCATCCCCTACGAATTTTGATGAATTATTTTAGTACACCGAAGAATAACTCTGGAAGCTATTCACAATCCTCTTAAAATTGTGATAATAAATTGAAGTCTCGTAGTATTTATCCTAGTTTGCAATCATATTTGCCAGAATTGTTCCTCCCAAAAATAATAAAGACAAAAGATAACGTTATTTTCAAACTTTGGTCGTTATTTGTTGTCATGTTTTTCTGTAAATAATAACAGTCATTGAAACGGCAGTACTGTTCGTTGAATTAATATTCAGGTTTATGGCGCGTGTTTCGACGAACGGGTCTATAGAAATTTCCCAGACCGGTACAGGGCCGAATGATTTTATTGCTAAATTAGAGTGTTAAATGACGTTGATGCATTCTCCGGGGAATATGTAACGGATACAATGCGCGGTCATTAATTTCGCAGATAATGTGTAAAGCATATTAATGTTGTGGATTCGATTGTCGTTTCATTTTAGAGACGACGATGGTAATGGTAATCGTTAATTATGACGCGTATTGCAAATCGAACGTTCTGAAAATGTAACCGTTGCAAACGCATTGGTTAATACGATTAATTCAAATGGTTTCAAACCTCATTGCCCCCAAGTTGATAAAAACAATCGCACCTTTAACGCATTTCCTTCTCAAACGGCTGTTAGAGGTTAGAAATAAAAACTGTGGATGGAGCAGCAATTAAATCTAAGTTACAAACTTATTTTTAATCGTTCCTCAAACGCCAAACGACTCAATTTTTACTTAGAATTCTTATTGAATCGACAGAATAAGAATGGAGATGTCGTTTATTTATTGTAAACGAACCAGTATGAAAATTTTTGGTGAAAATAAACCGTGCAACCCCAGTCGCCATTACGAAATATTACCCCAATGTCAATGTCAATTAGCGGCTCTAAATTAGTACTGCAAACTATTATCCCCGAATCACAACGCCCTCGCGTTCTCCAGCGTCTTTGCGCCCCTAATCCGGCGCCGAGCTAAACAAACAACCGGCACGTTTAAGAGGCACGAACCCGATCAAAGTTTCCAACGAACGTACCGGAATCCAGCGTCCGAAAAGGACACGGTTCACACCCCCTTCCAACCTGGACCGACGCATAACCGTGTGTCCCTGCACACAGAGTGCGTGGAGAACGCCACAGGGGGTGAGTAATGTCGGGAAATGCAGCTAACGAAGTTTACGAAGACACTTAACGGAATTACGCGCTCGCCAGCAATGGCCTCCGCGAGTGTGTTTCCCCTCCGGGTCCTCTGTCCCCCTCCTCCCCCCGGGGTTGGTTCTCTTCACCCCTTTCTGGTGGCAAGGGATCGTCGCGTTAATTACCGCGAGCGGAGGCAAGAAGCCGGGGAAAATCGCGGCGAGAGAGCGCATCATCGTCGTGAATATAGTCCAGACCGGGCTGGCGAAAGGTCGCGAAAGGAAAGCAGGTGGAATGGGGTAGGAGGACGGGAGGTGGGCGAGAGAGGGTGGCTCGGGGCGAAGCGAGGGTGGTTGGCTCGGTTCTGCGTCGAAGAAGGGTGTTATTGACATGGTGGGTGTCGCGTCGTCGGCCATCTTGGCCTGCCTGCACCCTCTCCTCCGCTCGAGTCTCTCCCCGGCGCACCCCTCCCCTTCGCACCCTTCCCTCCTGCTCGCTCTTACAGGCCGCGCGACGCTCCGTCCCCCTCGCGTCCAGGACATCCTTGTGTCCCCCTTGTGTCGAGTGACATTCGGGCTATACGCCCGGCCTAACCTGCCCGACAGACGCCCTGGGCCACCCTTTTCGACCAACCCCGGCGACGAGCTCCGTGGGTCCCGGGGGTTGCTTGTCGCCATGGCGACCAAACCCTCCTCGCCCAACCCCCGTCGGCCAAACACCGGTTCCTGTCCCTCGGTACACACTTCCCTCTTCGTTTCTCGGTGTCTCTTTGCTCCTCGAGTCACGTCCCCCTCCGATTTTTATACCCCCCCTGCTCCTCCTGCCTGGATCATCCCTCTTCTGGCCGATTCCTAGGATTCTTTTCCGCTGTTGTACCTCAGTCGATGTTTCTTCGTTCCGTATCGGTGTTCGACATCCGAACGTGTCTTCTGACCTCATGATTCTTTATTTGTCCTTGTTTCTGATCTTTAGACTCCCCGGGGTCGGGGGTTGGGGCTCCGGGGCTTGTATTTCGATGTTGCAACTCGCGTCTTTTGTTTCTTCTTTTTTTTTTTCGTTTTTTCTTTCGCTCCGGCTAATATTTCCGAGTGGAAACTGTATTTTCACTTCCCGCGACTTGAGATCCTTTCGTCCATCCGTGTATTTACCTCGAGTTAGGGCACGATTATATATTATTCGAAAATATTTTGCTAAAATCACATGTACCCTCCAACCCGTTTGAGCAGTGTATTTTAAACTAAAGGGGTCCTTCCTAATTCTTATCTTTTTTATTTTAAAGTGTCTTCACAGTTTTGGTTTTGGGGGTTATATTTCGGCGTTGGCAGTTTTGTTCTATATTTTTCCCCTCTGCTCGAGTAATATTCCCGAGTAGAAACTGTGCTCTCACTACCCGCATTCCTTCGCTTTTCGCCTCTGCCGCCTCCACTTCATCCCGCTTTAATTTTACTCTTTCGATTTCTTTTAGTTTATTTGTGTATTTACTCGAGCCATTTCTTCATTTTTCGAGGGAATCGTACTCCCGCAGAAATCAATTCTGTATATTCATTTTAGCCACATATACTCTCGGTTAGCGTCGTCATTGCAGATGCTCCACATACGTTCTCCTCGTCTTATTTCCTTTACTATTCCACCAGCTATCGTTTTTTCGAACTTATATGACTTAAATATGACCGGGATATTAAGTATACTAACTTTCTGTATCATTATCGTGTCTAGAACAGAACTATAGATTTTCCCTGCAAATGTCTCCACGATCGCTAACGTTAGAACGACCGAAGACATCTCATTTTCATCGTTTCTTCCTCCCTCGCATTTACACCCTCCCTGGGAACATTATTCCGAAGTAGAAACCTCCCCTATTTTTCTCTTTCCACCCTTCCACCATCTTTCCAACGGCTTCTCTATTTCTCCTTCCCTCATTTCTATTCTCCACCTTTCGTTTCTCCCATTATTCCCGTCTCTAGAAATAATATTCTCAAGTAGGAACTCCCTCGCTAGTCCTACGCCCTTCCACCCCTCCTCGCGTTCTCTATTTCCACCCTTTTCATGCGTCCTCGTTCTCTAGCTGCACTTTCTCAACAACAACCTCTACGCGTATCACTTCTACGCCCTCCTACGCGTTCTTCTTGCTCCCTCCTTTATTCCCATTTTCTCAGCCCTCGCTATCCCCAACCCCCTTCGCCGCTGGAACGATGGGGTCACTGGGCGGACGCGCGAGTCCGACTCTGTTCGTCACAGGGGATGATGCTACCCTTGCAGAGATGGGCAGAATTTTGTTCGAACAATAGATAATAAGATTATCAAGGGTAGATTATTAATTGAATTTCATGTAAGATATCAGGGTTGATTTTTCCCATAAGAGAAAAAAATTGCACAAATTAATTACACGGCTAAATTCTGGTATCAGTCACCGAGGTTCCCTTGCAAAAAAAAGAAATTAATGAAACGAACTCTGACGTATATTTCTACATCCTTTCCTCGAATTTTGTAACTAAAGTTCGTCGCACACTCGCGATGGTCGGAAATCCCGAGATTGCGGTTTTGTAAAATTCCAAGTTGCTACACAAAGAAAGTAAACAAAGGCTGTTCGTATTTTTATTTACTCGCAGGAAAGCAGATCTCATGGAAAAATAAAAGAATGCAAAGGTTAAATAACCCTCTGGTTCGTCGACGACGAAGAAAAACACACCCTGGTAGCGCGCCACGTCGTTTCCAGCAACAATTTCTGAACAAACATCGTGCTTTATCGGCTTTCGCGAAGCACACCCTCCGCCCTCCATCTTCCTTTCCCTTTCGCCCCACATCCGTTACGCGCTCGACCGTCCTTATTGTTTTTGCCGTTTCGAATCCCGTCTCGTCTTCAATTTTCGAAACGCAATCACCGTCGTCTCCTCGCCCCCGCTTTGTTCCCGACGGCGATAAATGAAAATCGATCGTGCCGGGCCATTGTATCGCGGATTAGAAATTCTACGATTGGGATGGGCCTCGGTGGCCATCGACAAAGGGATTACGCGAATTAAAGCGATTGATTCGCTGCATTTTACAGTGCATCGTCCATATGTCGGGGCCCAGGGTTGCATTGTGCCCCCGGATCGCTTCGCGTTTGCCCGCGCAGCGGGTGCATCGCGAGGACGCGACAATTTCAATGCGGAATTTCTGCGATGCTGCGCTCGAATGAGGCCTACCGCGCGACCATTGATTAATTCGCGCGATTTTTGTTCGCCGCGTCGTCGTTCGGAGATTAATTTTTCGCGGCGTTTCCAAGGAAATTTCGTTTGGGCCTGAAAAGTTAGCCAAAAATCGATTCAAAGAATGTCGTACAAAAATGCACCGATTTAATTGGGACTTTACTTAGCACGAGTTATGAAAATAATATAAAGGATTTAGAGGTCCACAAATCCAAAGTATTTGGATGAAAATAAATTTTAGTGTATGTTGTAATTCCTGAAGCAAGGTCCTTTTGAAGTGAACGATTCGTTAGTCGCGCGAAAGATGGACACGATCCACGGGAAATAGGAAAATGGAAGCGTCTCGTTCCATCCAATAATTGGGATTTGGGATCGCAATGTCTTTCGCTGTTCTCAACGCGACTCGTCCGGTGGAAAAATCGACGAAGAAAAAGCGAGGCGGATCGACGAGTGGTTTCCTCATCGAGAGGACTTAGAGTATTTGTTGTCGACGACAGTGAGGGTGAAACGGGGGAAAGAAAGTCGAGTACCAATTAATTCGTGGCTGCGGCTTGATTTAGCAAATCGTCCCTAATTGGTCGGATTGCGGTGCTTCGCGAAACTTTGTGGTCGGCCGAGACAAAAGCCATATCAATACCCTGAAGTCCCCGCTAATAATCTCTAATTCTCGAAGACGACTGCGGACAAAAGGAAGACCGAGTTCGAGTCGCCAGGATCGAACCTGGCTCTTCTCATCGGTTTCAGAAATTCTACGTCCACCATTTCTTTAAGATTATTAGTTTTTTTTATTAATAGTATAATACTTTTAGTTAAATAGACTATAGTTTCCGGCGGGTCAGGAGAGCTAAAAAAAAGCTAAAAAAATTCCATCTAGATTCGACAGAGGTGGTGTAAAAGTCATAGAGAAATCACAAACACACAGATTTTTGTTGTAACAAAGAATTTGGTGGATTTTCTTAGTCCAGTATCCCCAGAATTTTGTTAGTAAAACCAATTTGAAAAAATGAAAGGTCGTACGAGAATCAGATCTCTCTGTCAGATTTTACTGCGGCCACTGAGATACTCTATATTTTCGTGATACCCCGTACGTAGCGCCCCACCCAGCTTCCCAGATAATCGCGAAACTACGACGATCCTATTAATTAACTTCCACTGGAGATGGCCCCGTTTCAAACGATGTAAAGAATCGGAGAATCGCTGGCTTTATGCTCGCGAATCAACTGTTTATTTATTCGCGATACGCGCCGCTGGGTGGGTGGGTGGGTGGGGAGATACAGAGCGAGTGATCGACGTGAAACGAGTTCATTCATACTCGCCACGATGAATGGAAACGAAACACGGGAAACGACACCGTATTGTTCCGATCCATTTTTCTTTTTTTTTTCCTCTTTTTTTGGGCGAGAATTGTTCACAGATAAGGAGCCCGAGCACAACGAACGGTTCATTTAACGTTTCTCGATAGTCAGCGAAATTATTGGACGCATCCTGACCTCCATTTTTGTCCAACGGTGGTCGTTTAATATAAGGTTGGGCAGAAAAGTTGGCTCGGAAATTTAATCACTGCATATTTTACGTAATTTTTAGTAATCGTTGAATATATCTAATTTCTATAGATTTTCTTGTTTGTGGAATTGCGAAATTTGCTCTACATTTATTATACTTGCGGACCTTTCTATCCATCACCTATATTTAATATCAATTTATGACCACGGTAGAACGCGTTTATAGATCGTAAATGATTCAGGATTCTTCGGTGAAATTTCCAGTGAATTGAAATCTGACGCGATATAATAACACGCCGTTGATCCTCGTTAATTCGATGAATTAAACAGTAACGCTTAATTAATTGCACGCGACCGCGTGCAGCGTTGTGTTTCCGTGTTTTACTTTCGTTTTCGGAATATATTACGACTGGCGTATTTAATCGATAAAAATGTATTTTATTGCCGGTGTCGTTGGTCTGAATTAACCAATATTAAACTGCCCTTCGACCTTGAATAAATCCAACAGGGAACCGAAGTTTGTTTTAATTATATGCTTGTTCCCTTAGTAACTTCATTTAAATTGGACTTTTCAATGGTAACAATAGTGATTTGGATTCATAGAATTACTGATTACAAAATCACAAATCTGTAATGAATCGGTTTATGCATACAACACGAGTATACCACGATTGAAAATTGATATAAATAATTGATGTTATTGTGGAGCGAACGAACGATCGCAAATCGAATTTGTACGTAACCCCAATAATCCGATCACCCATGTACCTAGAAAATAGAATTAAACAACGAGTGGTTTGAAATGTTTGTTCAAAATTGGAATATATTTCAGCAAAAGAATAAGATAAACCTCTCATTTTTCCTCGATGAAAGCTTGCTGCTGCCTAAAGTTTAAGGGCAGGTTAACGACAGTATATTCCTAAAAAGAGGGAAAAGGTTAGAAATCATCATGAATCGCGTAAAGTTTCTGGACGCGGAGCAACAACAACCCCGCAAGTGTCCGGACGTCGAGTCAGTAACTCGATGGCGATGTTAAAGGGGGCGTCTCTCAAGGGTGCGATAACTTTCGGCGTCGACTGTATCCGTTGGATGATACCCCCTCGGGGTTTTCTCCCCTCGGGTGTTGGGGTGTGTTTCGTTGCCTGGCAACGACACCCTCAAAGTCCCCGCTCTGATTGGCCCCGTCTCGCTTTTCCTGTCTTAGCCTCTCTCTTCTCACCCCCTTCGACAATCAGCCAGCCGCGACCGTGCCTCCTATCGACGATCAAAACCACCCTCGAGGCAACGGCTCCCTCGTCGCCGCACCCCGACCCCCCCACCCCACTCGCCCGCCCGTCTTTTCGTCTCTCATGCACGAAAATGGAAAGTCGGACACCTTTTCGGATTTATCGCCTGACGAGATACTGCGTTAATTGAATTTTTTGGGGACGAAGTGTCCTTTTGTCGAAGGGAATTTCATAATTACGGTTCCCCTAAGACTGGCTAAAAACTGGCCCGATTCCGCCGTATTTCGAATGTCAAACAGAGAAATAATATATTAATCGTTTCAAAAATCGGAGAAGGGTTACGTCTACTAACGAGAAATTCAAAATCTGTGTATTTATAACGTCCCTCTGAATTCTGCTTCCCTCCAATTACCGGATGGAATATAAAAAGAAGATTTTACCTAAAAACTGCCTCGTTGCAAACCCTGGCCGTCCATCATGCTTGACGTAGGTGTATGCCAGTATCGGATAGCAATCTGGAAACTAAAATACCAGGAACGGCTTTACCTCGTAATAATTTATAAATAAAAGAACCATTTCCAATCGCGAGGCAGCACCGCAGCTATTCGGAAACGATCGTTTCTCTCGCGAAACGAACGAATTTACGAACGTCTCGCGGAACAGCCTCCTTCGTGTTCTTTCACGTCCTCGAGGGCTCCATCCGGCCTGGATCGGCTCGATCGTCGGAATCCGCTTACGAATAAACATCCATTTCATGCCTTTCATCGTCATTTACGATCATTTCTATTTTTCTGACTTGGTAAATCGCACGAAAGGATTAACCCCCCGGCCAGCGGGTGGAAGGTGAAGGGTAGCTTCTTCTATGACTCCTTCACGTTGCTCGTCCCTGCCTCACAAGCCCCCTACCACCCTCCTTTCGCGAGGCTCCTTCGAGTAGCTGGCCCCTTTTGTCGACGACCGTGGAGAGGGTGGATAGAACCACCCCTATTGATCCCGCTCAATGGATTCTCCCTGGCCTTTCACCTGCCACCGATCCCGGTGTTTTGACATTCCTCTCGCTCGTCCTCGCTCATTTCACGGCATTAATAGAACGCTCGACCCGCTCGCTAGCGAAGAGCGGATCCTTTCAGCGGCGAAGAACTTCCTAAATAAGCGTAATCCTTTTCAGTCGCGTACCCCGAGCGCGCGCACCCTTAGAAATCGCTCGCGTCGACGATGCGAAACGGAGAAAGATTCCTGTCCTTCTTCCGCCGTTTACTAATCTCCTTCTTCTTTTTTTTTTTCTGACGTACAATAACGTAATAGCAACGTCAACGACCAACATTGTAAATCAGTCTAAAGTTCCCATTAAAATTTTCGAAGATTTCACTGATCCTTAAAACCCAATTGTATAAATCGCGTAAACCACGCTGACAAATATTCTAACGTACATTAATTTCTTGATACGCGACCGTATTTTATCCCTGGCAGTTGATAGAATTTTACTCCAAATGACTTTCTGTCCGTTTTTCCTTTCCTTAACGAAGAAAGGTTCGAAGTACGAGGTATTTGAGCGAGAGGGGGGACAGCTGAGGGTTGCAAGGGGTGGGTGGCGAAGCAGAGGAACGTTTACTTGGGAGACTTGATCGATGGAAAGGAAGAGAACTGAGGAGAATGGGTTAACAGTAGCCTTTCGACGTAGGAAGCTTAAATGGACGAGTTTCGTGTGTGACTTCTTTGGATGATCGCTTGAAAAGTTGTGAAAGGATGGATCGTTGGGGTCGAAAGGTCGATCGAGGAAGATTTGTCAGAGTTGACGTAAATTTGATATAATAATAAATCAGCCTGAATAGTCTCAATACTCTGCTGGAAGTTTGGAACTTTTACTGAGACTGATTTTATTTCAGGCGACTTGGATTATTGGTCAGAGAATTCCAAGGACTATTCACCTGAAGTCGAACATGGGGAAAAAGATTTTAATTCGTGCAACGATATTCATTTTGACAAGTGAGAATGATTTTACTGCTTCTGGATATTTGAGACGTTAGTTTTGTCTGTAATATAGGAAATTGGTACAATTTTAGGGACAAGTTACACATACCAAAAATATTCTACGGCACACGAACGCACAAGCAAATCGAGCAAGTCGTGAGGGAGTTGCAGAAGACTTCCTTCAAGCACAAAAAGTAAATAACTTTAAAATCGTATCGCGAGCTCGCGACACCGAGCGTGTGAAAATAAAATTTAATTTTGCAGAATGACTGTTTTGAGCAGTCGAGAGCACACGTGCATTCAAGAGAGCATCAGGAACAAAACGGAGCTGTGCAACGATTTATTGGACCCTTCAAAGGTTTACCTCTTTCAGATAAATTTAAAAAGAAAGCAAACGTAATTCCACATTTTATGATGTATGAATAATTTTCACGCAGCACAAAGGGTGTCCATTTTACAATGAAAGCAACAGAAGGACCATTAGTAATTTTCGTACGTTGGGATCTCTAGGTTTGAATCCAGTATGGAACATCGAAGAGTTGGTTGCCATAGGCAAAGATAGCAGTGCATGCCCGTATTTTGCTGCCAGGAGCTTAATGGAGCAGGCAGATATTATCTTTTGCCCTTACAATTACATCATTGATCCCGATATCCGTGAGAGTGTAAGCATTCGTGAAACGAGTACTCCAAAGTACTGTAAAGGAACCTCGAAACTTGAAACTCGTGACTATTACAGATACAACTAATGGTTAAAAACCAGGTGATCATCCTCGACGAAGCCCACAATATCGAAGACATTTGTAGAGACTCTGCAAGCTACAATTTTCGAGACGATGATCTCATAGCTGCGGGAAACGATTGCGATAGCCTCATATCCAGTAGGGCTTCGAGTGCTGAGACCTACAAAACTCTGAAAACATACATCCTTCGTTTGATAGATTTCCTCAAAAACCTTACGCTTGGCAACATTGTAAGTGAGAAGATTTAAAAAAAGATAGAAATTAAGGTTTGGAATAATACAGCTAATGCATTTTACGAACAGGACAAATTCAACGCCGATTTGTCGAGCCCATACTGGACTGGTCCAGAACTCTTAGAACTACTCGATATGAATCATCTTGGGGGGTCACTGTGTTCATCTTTCATCGAGGCTGGAAAGCAAGCACTGGCAGACTACAACAATGCAAAAGAAGATAATCGATTAAACACGTCGGTGAGACCAGTCGTCAGCAACCAAACCAAAAAAATCATCGAACATCTGATGGTTGCCTTAAAGATGATCACTTTGGAAATATATACAAACGACTACAGAGCCTGCGTGATCGAGACCAAAGTGAAGGATTATAAATACGTAAGTATAATATAAAGAGTCTTCTGTTGAAGATATTGCCAACTGGACTCTATAGGAGTTTGACTCTAATCCTCCATTATCCATTTAGGTGGTTGCAAGTCAAATGTTTTTATTATATCTGCATTTCGAGTGGTCTTTAAGCAAACTATCATTTAATTTTAGGCAGTAGATGACACTTGGCACTCGGTGAGAAAGCACACACAACGTGCTCGTACCCTGAAACTGCTCTGTATGAATCCTGGGGTGGTCTTTTCTCCGCTTTCCGAAGCTGCACGGTGTATAATTCTCGCTTCTGGTACCCTAACTCCGACCGGATCTTTCCAGAGCGAGTTGAGCACAAAGTTCGCCCATATATTGAACACTGCCCACGTGATACCAAAAGATCAAGTTCTCGCGACTTGTGTACCGAAGGGACCACAAGGACATTCCCTGAGAGCCACGTATGGAAACGTAAATCAATGGAAATTTCAGGTGAGACTGCGTTTTATGTTTTTGAAGTAAGCGGAGCTTGATAGTTTTACCAAATCTTGCAAGAAATTCTGTTCCTGCAGGATGAACTGGGTCAGGTGTTGATCGACGTTTGCGAATCGGTACCGCACGGAATTCTGTGTTTCTTTTCCTCGTATAATATGATGCACAAACAAATAGAAAGGTGGAAACACAATCAGATGTGGGACAGAATCGCGAGAAGGAAACGCGTGTTTATGGAGCCACGTTTGGGAAACGATCTCGCTCCAATCATGCAAGACTATCGCCAGTTTATAGAGCAGACATCGACCGGACCTATCGAGAACATCGATGGCGCCTTATTATTGGCAGTGTTCAGAGGAAAAGTAGCCGAAGGAATAGACTTCAAAGACGATGAAGCTCGATGCGTAGTAACGGTACGTAGTTGGAATCTTGAATCGATTTTAATATAATAATAGACGTCGGTGATTTTTAACCAGAAGTTTATTTGTGATGTAAAGTGTTTTGAAGTCTTAAAGGTATGTAAAATTCAAATTTAAAAATACGATCAAATATTCTTACTTCAGGTTGGTATACCATTCGCGGTAAGAACGGATCCCGTTATTGAGATGAAATTTAAATATAACAATATGAATGCCTCAAAAGGTTTGCTGAACGGCTCCGACTGGTACTCTATCCAGGCATTTAGAGCTCTGAATCAAGGGTTGGGTCGTTGTTTAAGACATATCAATGATTGGGGAGCGGTGTTGTTAGTGGATGATAGGTTAGTGTAATTTAATAGTCCATAGGTGCTCGTCTTGTATGAGTAATTTATTTCTATTGTAGGTTTTTGATGCAAGATTACAAGGATAAACTGCCAAAATGGGTTAAAACAATGGTAATTTACAATAGTATAACCTAAAATTATTTTATTTTAATACTTTTACGGAATAATTTATGTACAGTGGACCGAGCAGAAAGAATATAACCTGAAGGAGTCGCTTCGTAACTTCGTAGCGAGACAAAAAGCAAGAGAAGAAAGTATTGAGTGAGGTATTTAAAAAATAGGGAACATTTGAAATTTTAACAAAAAGAACTATTTGAATATCGAAAATTCTGATAGTTCGAAGAATTTTTATTAATTTTTGTATAATATATCGTGAGTATTTTTGACATAACCTAAAATTGTATATTTTTTTAATCGAAAAATGGTATTTTAAAATATTTTTAATCGGTCATATATACAGTATACAATGTAAGCATGAAACTACCTAAGTCTTTTGAATTTGAAGTGTATCCCTTTTCTCTATTGTTCTAAGTTGTTTCTTTTTTATTTTCTTCAGCTTTGCAGTATTTGTGATCTAAAATATAAATTTTAAGGTTAGTTTGTACACAGTATTGCACACGCTTCTAACACGTTTTACATATAATAAGATGCATATTACTTACAACTTGCACAACTTCGCCCTTCTTGCGGTTCTCTTCCGCACGTTTTAAGTTTTCAATTCTCCTCTGCTTCTTAGCTTCTTTGTCTGCTTCCTTCTGAGCTTTTATTGCCCTTGACATCTCTTTCACCCGCTTCAGATCATCTCTCAATTTCTGTTTCTTCTCGAACGATCGACGTATGCCGCGCGTTTTGACTATAGATGAAAATCTGTAAACAGGAGAAAGATGGTTTGAACATTTGGCCCTTAATAAATTACTAATAAACTACGTAGAACGTTAGTAAGTAGAGTAATATATAAGGTTTCTTAGAGTTTACTAACCGTGTTTTCTGATCTTTCCATATTCTGCCAGACTTTGGTTTGCCTTTTGGAATTAGTTCTTCCAATGCCTTCACCTTCCTAACTTTCATTGTTGTATTTGAGGTATTTGTATTAATGGCAGCTGGCTGATTATTCTGCTCGTTTAGAATGTCTTCTACTCTAGTTATTTTTTCATCAATCTTCACTTCTTCGCCCATAGTTTCAATACTATAAAGTTCTTACTTCTTCGCATGTAAACAACTTAAATAGGTTATGGGTGCACGTGGGTAATGGACACGGGCGCCATATTGAAAACGATTACGTATATAGAGCCATCTACTAACAATTCGTGGAAACTTATAGCCAAGAAGGATAAAGAAATTTAGTAAAAGTATTTAAAAAAGAACGGATAATTTTCATATTGCATTTTCCTTGAATTTGATATGATAAAATGTATATTTCTAAATTATTCGATCGGAATTCGAAAAATTGGTGAATTAATGGGAATTTTAATGTGACCGAGTGCAGATAAAAATATACCTACGATAATTTAGGGTTGATTTGTAAAACATGATGCACTTTTGTTTTTAAACATATTTAATATTTAATTCTTAATCAAAATACATTTTCTTGACAGTTCGTAATAAGAAGATTGCAACATGGTTTTCAAGTCCACGTTTATCTTCCAATTTTTTATTCGCTTATTAATAGAAAATTGATTTCTCTGGTTTCGAGTCTCGGAACGAAATTCGTTTACTACACAGTAATTTCACTATGTTTCAATTCCTTTGACATTTGTAAAAATGGCGTCACGTATGTAATCAAATTTTCAATATTACCAGGATATGCAAATAAGAGTTTCTGTATGAATTTAATACTGGCTGGTGTCGAAGATTGCGCGAAATACTTGAAAAATGATACACAAGCCAACTGCATAACGTCTGTGTTTACAGTATTTCTGCTCAGAAACAATGCTTTCTGCGCGCATCTGTTAAATGTTGCCAAATCTATCTGGGATATTATTCTGAGTAAATGTATCCAATATCTCGCGTCGTCGGGATGCTTAAAAATTGCTTTGGAGAGTGTGGCGATAGCACTTTTAATATTGTTCGAGATCAAATGAGAATACGCCGACAAATTTGCAACGTGTGGACCGTGCGTTGGGTGATCCGCATAAGGTTTTAGTTCGTTCATTACCAGCACAGCTAAATTCACATCCACGTGCAATATTCCCAAAGAAGCGGCTGCCAAGAAACCCGTTATAACCGGCGGTTGTATTTGAATACATTGAAATAGCAACGTTTTGGTATCGTGTACACCTTGGAAAATGTACGTTATCGCCGCCATCGCGCACAACGTGTAAGCTTTTTCTATGTCGGTATTCTCGTGCAAATTGAGCGCCGTTTCGTACGCGTTGTACGATTCCTCGTATTCGCCTGCCTTGAATAACGCCAACGCCAAATGGCATTGGGAATTGTAGCTAATTCTTTTAACGGATCGGCATAATTTCACAGCCTTCACGGGATTGTCGAGTTGCATCAACACGCGCGCCAAATTTATACATACTAAATTCTTTTCCTCGTCCGTGCACAACGGCAAAGCCGCGGCAAATTGTTCTGCCACCGATCTTCGGAGTTTCTGTCTCTCCAACAACAATCCGTACGCGTTTCGCGCGTAACAATCGTCCGGGTGTTGCTCCACGTACCAATTCATCACGTCCGAGGCAACGACTACGGCGTGCATGTTTTCTATTATATACTTATGCAAAGAGTCCCTTTCGATGGTAGAATTTTTAAGCACGGTAAGCACCGAATGAGCGTATCCTACCGCCGCCTGAGGATGATATCCCAGCTGCGTAGAGTGCCTGAACAAATCTAACGCTTCTTGGCTGCTCATCATTTCGGCTAGTAACGCTTGACCGATCCAACTATTCATGTACGCCGGATCTGCTCGTTGCGCTTGGTTGTACGCTTCGTTTGCTTTGTACCAGTTTCCTACGTGCAGATACAACGTTCCCAAATTAGACCAAACCATGGAGTTGTTCAATTCCCTGTCGATCGCCATCACGAACGCGTGCTGGGCTAATGCGTAGTTTTTAATGTACGGTGACATGCAAACGATACCCAAGAAGTTCCAATGTAACCACGACGAGGGGCAAAGTTTAACAGCGTGTTTCGCTATAGCCAGACATTTGCTGGCAAGATTCTTGTGATCGATCGATGGATCGAGATGCAGTCGCATCAAGTAACAAGATGCTAAATCATGCCACAGCAAAGGCGATTGCGGAGAAAGAGACAGGGCGCAGCAGTAACATCTTGCGGACAACAAGAGTATGTCTCTTCGTTCCGTCAGCACGGTATATTCGGTCATCTCGGACTTCATCAATACAAGCGGTACTTTCAAACGACTGTACTTTGTTGGCAACAGAGCTGCTCTGTAACATACGTCGCCGAGTAGCTTCCAAACACAAGATAAGTCATTGCGTGACGTAATAACGAGAGCCAAACTGTCCATTGCCTGTTGAAGATTGTCAACAGCGCGACCCAGAAATTGTTGCGACGTGTTTACTTTCGCCAAAGCTATGCACGCCTCGGCCAACCCCTTTAAAGCAGGAACGTAGCACGACTTGCTCAACAGTATATGTTCAAAGTCCTTCTTCGCGCTGCTGTATTGCCCGAGAAACAATTTTATATTAGCCAACTGTATCATCGAGTAAAACGATTTAGGATTCAAGTCTAACGCACGTTGATAAGACTTCAACGCCGACGTGTGAGCACCTCGTACGAAGTACACGTCTGCTAAAGCTTCCCAATTAATGTTATTGTTCGGATCGGCCCTGATAACGCGCTGAAGCGCCTTGATGGCTTGCAACGCGTCCCCTTGATCAAGATACTGCAAACCAAGTTGCATCCACGCCCACTTTGGACCCTTGTCTTTTACAGTCAATCTCTGCAACAGTTGTATATTAGCATCGTGATCTTTGAGCAATCTGTATGCAGTACTTAATCCAGTACCAGCTTCCTCGGAACTCGGATTAATTTGCAATGCAGTTTGATAACACCGCCTCGAACGTTCTAAATCGTTACCGTGTTCGCGATAATAGTGCCCCAAATAAACCAGGCACTCCCAATTGTAACGATCGGCCTTTATCCCGCTTAAAAGTGCCATTTGGCTGCTATTATACTTCCCCATTTTCCAATATATTATACCAGATAGTAACCAAGCTTCTGATGTTTCCAAAGCCGATTCAAGATAGTTTACTGCTACCTCAAATTGTTCGTGTTCTTTTAAGTGTAGTGCTTTGAGAATAGTAGCTTGAACTCTAGTTTCGCTTAGTGATTCCAAGTTGTTTAATTCGACGTGTACATCGGGATCGTCTAATAACACGCGAATGCGTGCACGGATCAATTCCAACCGTTTAGAACGACGTTTCTCTAAATGGTCATCGCACATTTGCAATGCAGTTTCCCATTTTTGTTCATTATTAGTTTTGCTTATAGATTCAATCACTATCATTTCTAATTTATACAACAAATCATCTTCCACTTTGTGCTTCATAAGATTTACTGCTTGTCTTGCTGCATTTTCTGCATCTTCCCAGCAATAAAGTCTGGCATTTATTTCACTCAGTATTACCCAACCATATAATAAATTTGGGATCAGCGTGAGAATGCCTTTCAGTATTTCTCTGGTAGCTATCAAATTATCCGTTTCTTTTAAATGCATTGCTTTAACAATTTCCACAATATCTGAATCTAAATTCAACCTTGTGAGAGTTTCATAAAATTGGTCTATACTAGTATCAATAGCAGAATTTTCATTCATCATATTTTGTTTGTAGTAAATATAACATATATATTCTAATGGCAAAGTATCTTTGGGAAACTGTCGATGCATATCTATAACTACATCAATTGATGTAGCTAATTTACCTGTATCATGTAATATATTTAAGTACTTTCTATAGTAATTATGCCGACTGTGTCTTACAATACTGTTTATTGCAGATTCAAAAACACTTTCTAATAGGTTTTGATAATCATTTAGCTTGTCAAAATTGTCTATCAGTATTTGTATAAGTACTTCATCGATTAATTTTAATTTTGTACCATCTAATCTGTTTCTTAATTCATTTAGACTTTCCACTGTTTCAATCAGATTATTATCATTATCAAGTTGTAAATAAACCTCTGTGATTTTGTTCAAAGTGGATGAAAAGTTGCATGTATCATCAAATTGTAATACTTTGCAATATGCCAACATCAAGTTGCTGTAGTTATCAATGTTACTCGAGTGTTGCTCATAATATTGTACTAAATACTTCCAAGCTATTAGATTGTCTGGTTCAATTTTGATAGCCCTTTCGAGTATTTCAGGTACTTTAAACTGGAATTCTTCAATTTTGTTCATTGAAGCAGCCAATAACATAAAGGCTTTATAATTATTTCCATCTTCTTTAATTATCTTCTTGCATTTTGTAATCACATTTGTATATTCATTTTGTTTATATAGCTTATAAGCTTCTTTTAAAATTGTGTTTGCCTTGTCAGACATTTTATTATTGAAAATAACTATTATAGAATTTACATTTAAAAAGTCAACTGTTTAGGTTAATGCGATGACCTCCATAACTATAGAATGGATATACTCGTACAGAAAATAAGGTAGCCAGTTGACGGTGAACTGGTTGAACTAATCCTAGTACGTTTTGGATGCTTTCTAGTAATTTGAGTTTACCACTATACGCTGTATTCTTTATAGTAACATAGATGGCGTAATCGAACTGGGGAATTGTCCCAACGTGCGGCTATGTTGCTTGGCGCTCGGTATGCCGGATTACAACAATTTTTGTCGATCAGCATTGCTGGGCGGCGAAGACGTGAAGATGCAACACGACTAAAGTCTATGTTACATGGTGCAATGGCGTCGTTATGGTTTACACGACTTATTTATGGCGTCGTATGCAGCGTTCAAAAGACAGACGCGAAGTGGCGACCGCCGCCATCTTATGCATCTTGTATTTTCCTAGGCTTCAAATTCTTAGCTCCTTTATAAACTTTACAGGCAGTGTCTTCAGTAACAATAACTGCTATTAATTCTATACAGTAATTGTATCGTAATTACACGTTACTTTTTAATTATCAAAGTTCAAGAGTCTTGCGTTAGATGTCGTTAAGAGTCAGTTCGAACGTATTTTTATCTGGTTTATTGTTTCCTTTGTGGTTATTTACTTCTCTAAAATGGAATCTCTTCAAGAAATTTCTCAATTTTTAAACCCGAACTCACGATTAGATCTGAAGGCTATCAGCTTAGAACATGTGCTCAGTGAGTACTTACTTTCAAATAAATGCTTTCTAACCTCAATATTCGATATCGTCTTATTCTTTCAATGAATTTTTAAGACACAGCTTGTTACTTTCTTTTTAACCTCGAATAACAGGCGTAACTGGAAGTTTAGAAGGACGGGAACAGCTCTTAAAACTTCCAAATTTACTGACACAATTGATTGCTCTAACACAGGACTCTTCCACAGCAGTGTCAAAGGATGCTGCTCTGGCATTGATAAACATTACTGCGGACGAAGCAGGGACCAGCGCGGTTTTGTTGATCTCAGAAATGACAAAATTGAGCGAGGATAAAAAATACAATTATAATTTAGTACATGTTTGTATTAGGTAGATGCATTGTTATGTAGCTAAGATGGAATACTGCTTTCCCTTTAAAATTCACGAGCATTTTTTACAGATTTATAATGGATAAGGAAAGTTCTCTAGCAGATCCATGCTGTATGATACTTTCCAATATGACTAGACCTTTGCATTTAGTGGATCGGGTCATAGCACTTATTGAAAAAACTGGGTATTCTTGGGATAGTATTGTGGCAGTATTTACTGCCAAGCAGTATAACAATACTGGTGCCAAACTGCACTATTTAGGGCCTGTTTTTAGCAATCTCAGTCAGTCTTCGCAAGTGAGAAGGTGTTTTAGAAGTTTCTTAATATTTTTGGGCATGAAATTTATTACTTTGTAGTAATACTTTATTTACAATTATGGCTATAGGTTCTTAGTGGATAAAAATCGTAACGGTATCCAAAGGTTACTTCCATTCACAGAATATGCAGGTAGTGTCGTAAGACGCGGTGGCATAGTAGGCACGTTAAAGAATTGTTGCTTTGATGCAGAGGACCATGAATGGTTACTGAGCTTTGAAGTAGATATCTTGTCGTATCTCTTGTTACCACTGGCTGGTCCAGAAGAATTTGACTACGAAGAGAACGACAAGTTACCTGTCAGTTTGCAATACTTACCGGAAACAAAGAAACGGGAACCAGACTTAGATATTAGGTTAGGGCGCGTGTTTTGAAATCGCTAGTCTTCCAAAGGAGAATTTCTTACCTTTTAATTATTGTAGGATCATGTTGTTAGAAGCCTTAGCTCAGCTGTGTGCAACTAAACGGGGAAGGGAAGTATTAAGAGAGAAGAACACTTATCTGATACTCAGGGAGTATCATAAGTGGGAGACAAATAAAAGCGCGTTGCTAGCTTGCGAAAATGTTGTCGATATTTTAATTAGGTACTGTACGCACGTTTATGTGCTCTTATTCGTCATTGCTATTCGCAATTTAACATTATCTGTGTGTTATATCAATTTTAGGACCGAAGAAGAAATAGGTTTGGACAATATAAAAGAAGTAGACGTTCCCCCGGAATACGCAAACAAGTTCCATCAAATGGATCAAGACTTTATTAACAGTACATGATATAACGTATTGTAATAAATTTTATAAAGGATGTTTTTATTACTTTATCAACATTGAAAAAATGATGTTATGGGTGTTTCGTGATATTGCACTTTTCCCTCATTAATTTATTAGACTATCTTTAGTTATTTTAAGTTATCAGGTCTAGTGTAGCTACGATTGGGTAACAGAAATACAGGTAAAAAGTTGATTTTACTCTAACACAATCCTATAAGCTGGACTATGCTAAATTTAATTAGGTGTCGTCTTTAATTCGTAATTTAAGTAATTATCGGAAGAACGTTTTCTTAAAATTTTCTAAATTTGTTTTGGTCCTCGAGTAGTTGTAGGAGATATACAAAAATAAAAAGTATGACTACATAAAGTTAATAAGCGACGAAACAGGTACTAGTAAGATCTTTGCACGCATCATGAACATTTCTAGAACCAGGAAATAAATGTCTTCTAATATAATGTATTTGATGAAGAGTAAATTGCTAATTTTAGCTCGCTCGACCTGGAGCCACTTTTGCTGAGATCACGTCTTGCAGAAATGAGATTATGGTTACCGTTATGAAGAGGTCTGGTACATTTCTGACACATTTCTGCGAAGCGTACAGATAACAGTACCGTTATTAATTAATACCCGTATACTCGGTGTATCGATGGCGTACTTTGATCCATCGATCGCTTTTCGTGCCAATTATTTTTATCCAATTAAAGCTAAATAACTACACGATTATCAAGACGAGAATTTGAATCTCTTTCTGTATCATAAACTGGCTCAGGCTTTCGTAAATAATTCATAACTTTTAACGTGGTAATATATTTCTCATACATTCTAATTTAACAATTTTATTCAACATTTCAATGCGCATTTTTTAAAAATACCGTTTACTACTATCACTGTCATCTATGTTGTAAAAAATAATTAAACGTGTTTTGTATATTTCATCCTAACGTCTCTTGGTGCACTTGTAACATAATTTTTGCTTAATGATAGAAGAAAATATACCTATTTTTATATGCAATGAAATGTCTACAGCGTCTGATCAAACAGTCTCGCAATTAATTATTTAAAAAATGGATATCTTATAAATGTAGTCGCTATACATTTACATAAATCTTTGAACGTAATCGCATCAGTCACCCAGTAAAAAGTAAACTATATGTTGCTAACACAATACTGACAACTACTTTACGCAATTTGGGGACTTCGTGGTGTTTTGATCAGACTCTGTAGAACGAACTATCGTCAAGGAAAGGACGATTATCACGGTAAATAACCTAGACCGGCTTCCAAACTAATCGAACTCCTGATGCTAGAGGCGTTACTGGCTCGTCTACTGATTCTGTTCGAATCAGCGCCAAAGATAGCCGCGATCTCTGCGCTTTTCTTAATCGAAAGGGCTTCGTGGTGCCCCCCGGACCTACTGGGACAGTGGGAGAGACACTTTTTGTCCCTCTCCGCGCCACCGACGTACACCAAACGGCCTTGAGTGTCCCTGGCACTAACGACTAGCACCTTTTCGCTGTCGGAAGACTGCTGAGACTTTCGTCCTGGATTGAAGAGGTCGTAATCCAGGGCAAGGTTGTTCGAACTGCCGTAGCTTGACGACGACTGCTTCTAAAAGGAAACCAGCGAGATTCGTGTAAGGATTTCGATCGAGTACGAGCGAAGCTTGTTTGTTCGTACAGCGAAGAGAAGAAAAGCGACATTTTCGTTCGACAAGCAGTTGCTTAACCACCTCCATATCATTTTGATACCTTGAGTACATCCAAACCTTGGGAGGGCGTTCGACTCCTGCTTGCTTTCGTCGATCGGCTCCTGTCCGGGCTTCCCCCTCTGCTCAAAGTGCTCTCGGAGGGCACGATTCCCCGTTGTCTCAATTGCTCCAGTATCGTGGGTTGGATCGATTGTCGTGCACAGTAACACTTGTTGCTCTCCGAGCAGCTGTCCGTGTCGCAGGCGCATACAACTTCGTTGGCTACGGCTGGCGGTGCCTGGATCCTCCTGGACAACGAGCAATAGCACTTGTCCGCCGAGACGCAGGTGCAGGATTCGGAGTCGTAGCTGCACTCACTGCAGCTCACGTAGCCGCTGCTGCTCCTGTTCGCTGCCTGCGCGTTCCGACTCAACCGTCTGCCTAATGGGGCAAATGGATTCGTTCAACGTCAAAAGTAACGATGAATCATCTATACTCCAGTCGATAGACCTCTGTATGTGGTACAAATCAATTTGGGATTAACCATCCAATTAACTGGTGTGTTAATTGGAGAGGGGGCATGAGGCTGGAGTGAGTCTTCCTGGCTTTGGTCAGGTCGAAAACCCCGATCTAGCTGATGTTCTCCTATATCTGGGTTTCTACCTGGTGCGGTGAATTTCGGCGAAGTTGGCGGGCCCACTTTGGTCAAATCCACTCACCTCACCTCCGCGCGGGGCCCCTGGGACTCTGTATCGACTTATGTTGATACAGGGTGCGAAAGAGTGAGTGGTGAATCGGTAACGTGGACTTGGTGGTGTCACAAATCAAATTAAATTAGAATAGGATCGAAGAGAGAAGTAGTTCTTGGAGTCAGTGTAGGTGTATCGATGGGGGGCACATGCTTCCTTCGATCAATCCCAAAAGCAATTACCCCACAGAATGTACTTACACGTGTCACTGTCCTCCGAAGTGGTGTGGCACCCTCCAGTTTTGCTCATCCTCCAGGAAGACCTTTTCTTCCCCATCCTGTTAGCCAGAACGCGATTTCGATGGTTGTTCCTCGCGTCGCAGGAAGAGCTGCTGCCGAAACTGTCGTTCAGCCTCCTCGCTGGGAATATCACAGAAGTGAACTCCGTGGGTCCACCTTTCAACCTCGATACGGATCTCTTGATGGCCTTGCCTAGAAGACAGGTCCGGCGGCTGGATCGTCTGCGCTGAGGCCTTCGACGTCTCCTCATTATACTGGCAGACCTCTGGTACAGCTCGTCCTGCGTCAACGTCGCTGCCAGTTTCAACAAGAACTCCTTGTAGAGGGGTTTCAAGTCGTTGAAGGACATCCCCTCGGGATCTGCAAGTATTGGAAAGAATTAATTCTAATCCCGGTTAATGCTAGCTATCGAGCGAGTTACCGATAATGGCCGCCAAGATGTCGTCAACGCTGGTCAGACCTTCCTGATTCCTGAACTCGTCGAACAGCTCCGTGAATCCCAAAGGCGTTCCACCCTTGATGCTGTTGGGTCTTCTGGCGCTTCCAGGCTTCAGGAAGCTACCCCTTCTGGGTAGCTCGACCCTGGTCATCAGATCGCCCCTGTCCATGTCCACGTCGCTTTGGGACCTCTTCAGTCTGCCCTCCTGTAGAACCTTCATCGCGTCGTCAGTGTGGCTGACAGGAGGCTCGCTGCCAGCTCTGCTCCTCTTCCTGACCCTGGGTTTGCTGCATTCCGGCGCGTTCACGTTCGTCGTAGAGTCGCTCAGTTGCTTCTTCAACGGCTTGTCCATAGTGACCACTCTGCTCACTCTTTTCCCGGACGAGACCTTCTCCTGGTCCCTCGAACGTCTGCGTTCGACGGACACCGAGTCCCCGGTGACTTCCTGGATCAGCTGGTAGGTGTCGCTCTGCGCGGACCTGCCGAAGAAAATGTTCTCCTGCGAACTCTTTACCTTGCCCCGGTCCATCCTGCTGCCCCTGCTGCCGTAAACATCCTCCTGGGAAAGATTGTATATCTTCTCCGCGTCTTTGAAGTGCTCCTCGTAGAGCCTCTCCTTGCTACCCCGTTTATTGTTCCGCTCGTATATCGAGTTCTCCTCGTCCTTGCAGCTGATCTTATCGACCCTATCGTAAATCACCACCTCCAGCTTGGGGGAATACGTCTCTTGCCTCTTGACGGCGCCTCCGAAAGGCGTCAGTTCGTACGATTCGCGACCCTTCTCGGGATTCGGTTTCTTGACGCCCTCCGTTTCGTTCGGGGGGCTCTGTTTCCCCGGGCTGTTGCTCTTCACGGGAAGCTTCTCGTATCTGTTCGACACCCTCTCATAGAAGCCACCGACGCCGAGATCGTAGATCTTCTCTTTCGGGGTAACCGAGTGCTCTATTTCAATGTTATCTGGGGTACTGGCCTTGCTTCCGAACAGCTTGTTCTTCGAGTTTTGTCGCTCCTCCTCCTTGGACACCCTCAGGTCAAAGTTCTTTTGAATGGAACTGAAGTTCTGAGGCAGTGGACTCGTTTTGTCCTTTGGATTCGAGTCGCGTCTTGCTCCTCGAGCCTCCAGGATATCCTCCGCCTTGATGTCGGAGTTCTTCTTCTTTCTTCTTGGTGCTTTCTGCACGTCCCCTGGTTTTCCAGTCTCCTCCTCGGTGACGGAGCTCGAGACCGAGGTCTTCTTCGTCCTGGGTGGCCTCACCGGGTGCGAGGGGGTCGATTGTGTCTGGTCCAACTGCAGAATATTAGGTCTGGCGTTGATCTTGCTGACTGGACTCGAGTCTCGGACGCTCGATGCAACAGACGCCAAACTAACACACCCAACGCCGTTCGCGTGCCTTGGGCGGCGTCGATTGCCGTCCAGATCCGCGAGCAAAGCTCTGTAGAGTGTGGCTGCAGCAGCCACAGCGTCTTCCTCCATCTCACAGGCGAACGCGTGGCATTCCAGCAACCTGTTCGCCCCGGGACGTCGCATCACCACCGCGAATATGGGTGGATAGTTGTCCGCGGTAGTTTTCAAACCCCGCATCGTTCTGCAAATTAGAGCTTCCGTCGTGAGACTTTGGTAAAATTAAATTGTCGAGTGACTTATTATTTGGAATATTAACTTTTTATATTGCAATTTGCGACTAGGAGCTGAATAACTTTTGTACCCTGAGTTTAGAATACTAGTTGCATCTTGAGAGCTGAATCTGGTAAATCTTAGAGGTCTTCGTTAACGATACTCACCTATAGAGGTCCGCGTGCTTGTCTTCGCCCCCTTGGCCTTGATCGTGGTCACCGACCAACGGCAGGAAAGCGTAATGGAAATCGCCCGATGGCGTCCTCTTGCCGCGTAACCTGAGCGCGCTCCACACGGCGATCCTTCGGAAAGGGTTGTTCCTTTCGCAGACGTCGGTCGTGCGAAATGTCAATCCGCGTCTGGAGACCTCGAGTTCGGCCCTCACCGAGCCCTCCACGCGCTCTAAGAGCTGACGAAGCGGCTCTTGGAGGCCACGGACGCTGGCCACGCGGCCACCCACCGGAGCAGCTCCCAAGTACTTCACCTGAAAGAGTTTTGTAGCGATAATTCATTACCAACCGTGTCGCAAAGAATGATTTAAAAGGATCTGAAGATGACAGGACTTTCACTGTGGAACGAGGCTGAAAAGGGGTAGGTGACAATTATGTTTAAGTAGAGCTTCAAGTATCCCCCAAGTAAGTACTAGGAAGGTCTCTATATTTAAAACCTGCCCAGTCACGATCCAGATAGCGAATTTACATGAACTCGTTGCCTACATTTCTAATTTTGACAGACTCCAAATCGAAAAAAATCATTTGCATAAGTCGGTCCCAAAATGTTTCGAACATTCTTTCTACATTTTTTTTTTAAATTCTTCTGGAATCCAGAAATTCACAAAAAATAGAGTCGATGACTTCTGAGAAATTTAAAGATGTCGTGTTAATCGGTGTCGCCACATTTCGTTTACATATTTTTGATTTTTTAATCTATACAATCATGTGTAACCTTCAGCTGTCGATAGAGGGCACAAAAATGGCGAGAAATGTTCATATAAACGCGTGTCTTATTTTAGCTCGTTCATAAAATGGCTACTTTTGGCCCAAATATGTCAGACAAGCTTATAATTATTGCCTGGACAAGTTTTTTAAATATATCCAACTAATGGAAGATATATTTATTACGATACTATGACGCCTAACAGTTAAAGTCTGTCTCGGTGTCTACCTTCGAGAAATAAAAACCTGTTCTTTGCAAATGTCCAGTAACATCGGAGACTTACGACAGCTTGTCAGATGCTTCATCAAGCATTTTAACATTCCTCGACCAAACTACCTAGAAATTTCTCACTTCCAGATACGATAATTGCATTTAAGATAGCATTATGGCAGATGACAGACACGAAGTTAAAATAGAGATGAGGTAGAAACGCGGAGAGCTTGATATACTCGTTTTTGTATCGTAAATGCATTTGCCTTCACTGCTATGTATTTAATTTTAAAATGTTCAGTTTTCCAGTCAGAATACGATTGTCTAGAGAAATTTTAGAATAAAATTTTTAATCTTGCACAATATTTGAAAGAATAAAACCGAGAAATAAACGTGCTAGAGCTACCGAAAGATAAGAAAGACTCGGACTTTCCTCGAGTCGGCATCGTCCTGGCATTCTTAATCGTCACTTTCATTCCGTTCACGATTCGCAGAGCGTGACGGGCTACCGAGTCTATTTGGAGCACTGAAAAATTCTCCTTCGTTGCATCGGCATGCGGATTTTTCTTATTGCCCCGCTTTTATGGGCCTCCTCTTCCGCATCGTTTCGTTGCGCCACCGATGATGCCTTTCGAGTCACCGAGGTCGACAAAGTTTGCTTCTGTTGATCGATTAAATCCTACTTCCATGACCTATCCACTCCGAAGGCTCAATATTTGTTCTCCAAGGTATCAAACTCATCGCAATTCAAAGCAATTTATTTATTATTATTTGCAAGAGCCACTTTTGCATTTACACGTGCAAGTTGTATTACCTAGAACTCGAGGATTCATACGAAAAAGACAATAGAATGCTAAGAACATAATGCTTCTCGAAAAAATGAGTCGAAAATGTGGAATAAAGTTTTTTCGTACGAGCCATTATTTTCCAAAAAATTGAGTCTGAAGATGTGTGGCGCACGGGCATGCTTAATTAATGGCGGACTCTACGCAACCTAAACAGTTTTTAAATCGATTTAGTATTCAATTTTAGTGAAGTACTGGGCATTCTTTTCGTTTGAAGAAATTGCTTTCATTAATGCCACGATCGTTTTAAAAGGAGTCGAAGCCTCTAATTTAGAAACGAACGCTCATTTTCGACGAGACAAGTGTCCAGTACAGACTGCATACCATGCCCAAATACCATATTGTTGGAAACAAGTAATCACTCTATTAGAACGCCGTGAGTAGGAGATAATGAAAGTTCATCACGATGCAAATGTGGTACGAACGAATTATGTAGATTAATCGATGGTGTACGGTCTTATCAAGAGTTTTCATCGATCACGATTATCTAAAGTGATTTTTAAAACCTCGATATTAAATTAAATACTTCGCTCGTAACTGAATTTTTTCATTTAAAGAAAACACGGCTGTAGCGAATGAAATAGGGTTTTCTTGGGGTTAAACAATGTAGATGGCGCCACCCACGCTCGCCGCTAGAGGGCTATATAAGTGATTCCTTCGTAAGTTTCTTTCTTTGGATGAAGACTTAAGTTATTACTTGGATATTTATTAAATAATGAAAGTAACACCTGCAATTTCATTGTAGAAAGTACACATAAGAAATGTGATTATGTAGTATATTTTCTTTATGGAGAAAATGTAACGGTCTTTCACTTTTCGTTCCTATTAAAAATTCGAATTGGTTGCAACTTTTTCTGATAGCAAATTGAAGAAACTCTCGTTGGAACTATACCATAAAAAATCATTTATTATTGAATCTAAACACGGCTTACTTTAAATTGACTTCTCCTAGTCAAATGTATGTGAATTTTTTCTACTTTCGCTTATAATTTTATATAAAATTTTTTTCTAGAAAACGAAACAAGCGACCGATTATGTTACTTTTTCTTTATTTTTAATGCATGAAATTTCTCGAATTACTCTGCTCAACGGAACACAAAGTAGTTCAGAAGTAGAATTTCTATTTTTCCATTTTTCTTCGGTATCAAAAATAATGATCATAGTAACCGAGTCAGTTTTACGTCTTCCTCGTCGACTGGACAAAAATCTGTGTTAGTTATTTGTGAACTCCCGTTATCGTTCCTCTTTGGAAGCCATTTTATTCGGTTTCTTTCATTTCAAGCAACCAGTTCGCGACTAATTATACGTCGATCTAAATTTTATTCTCGTTTGAGAAGGCGTAGATTTTTTCTGTTGCCGAAGATAAATACGCGATCGAGGCTGCATAAATTTCCCGTTGCCACGGGGACTGCGAGGCGGAATCGTTCTAGCAAAAATTAGAAAACGTTTTACGCGTGTTCTTAATCTTACACAAAATGCTTCGTTTTATTATAATTGCTCTGCACACTCTTTCAAAAATAAGTTGCTTCGAAGGACCAGTCGTATATTCGACTGCGGTTGACCTATAATTTTTGTAAAACAAAAAACTCGTTTCGATTAACGCGGAAAATTACCGGAGACACTATCTTGGGTTTTCGACGTTGCAAAAGGTTCGAATTTTTCGTAACAACGTATGAAATACGCAGTTGGTGCGTGATTGGAGGCAATATTCGCTGGCGAAGTAGGTAAATCCTTCGCTAAGAGGCGCGAAACAGGTGCAAACCCGTCTCGAGAGTGGAACGAATGGCCGTTCCCGCGAGATTTTCTGAGGAAGGGAGAAAAGCCAGGATTCGCGATCGAATTAACATAAGTGAAAATCTCTTTTTTCCATCTGATCGTATCTAATTGCAGTGAAATCTTTTTGTGCGCGAATCCGTGTACAACGAACATCAGGGCAACGCCTGAGACTTCCCTTGTTAGCGTCAGATTCTACGTAATCGCTACCAGAAATTAAATATACCATGAAACTGTTTCTGAACAGTCATCCGTTAGCTCTACATTGGAACGATCGATAGAATCTTTATATTTCTTCTCGTTTTAACTCCTCCAAAGTACTCGGAACCCGTTCCTCGAATTGATGCTCGGATAACACGAGTGTTTAAGTGGCTTCGAAAGTACCATGAGTCAGCGACATTGCCAGAAGGTTATGCACGTCCAAAAGGAGCAACATGTAGAGTCGATGGTGCAGCACAAGGGGGAAGTTGCCTCGAAAAACGGTGATCGTGCTCACTGACACGTAAAAGAGGAATAAATATAGAAGAAAGTAATTTATATATTTACCGGTAAAATGGCAGCGGCGCATTCCCCGGGTGTTCCGCTTTCGGCTTCCACGGAAGCGAACATCGCCTCGATTCGCGCCTGGACGGCGCTGTTCACCCTCCTTTGTTCATCCGTACCGACGTCGTCAATCTGGTTCGAGTTCATCGTGGAGACGCCTCCGTACCACCCACCCATCGTGGATCCGTAAATCGACCTGAAACGATCCAGGCAAACGATGCTCTGAGAAAGGTCGAAACCAGAACTGAGATTCCATAAATGGAACTGGACTTAAATAACAGAAGCATAGGTATTAACAAATCCTAAAAGTGAAACAATGGAGTTGTGCTCCACGTTCCAAAGGATTTATTTCGATCATACAACAGCTTTTTTAGACTGTGAATGAGGTCAGATATCTAGTATGGGTCGTTAGCAGTGACTCACAGCCATCAACAAGTATGGAACACTGAACTGGAGTTAGTGTTTCCTTACCAACTTGAGAAATCATTACGTTTATAGTGCACGGAATAATATCCCTAAGATCGTACCTCGAGTCCTCGAAGAGGGCATCGATCCGAGCCTTGCTCCTGAGGGAGCATTCCGACGCAGGCCCAGCCAATCGGAATCCGTCCTCGTAGCGGGGCATCCCCACGCAAGACATTTTGCACCGGTCTATTAAACGATCCACGAGGTCCAGGATACTCGCTAGCTCCCTGGAATCTTCTTAAACGTACGTCCGTCGAACGACGTCATTCGTTCTGGAACAATCCCATTAGCGCTTCGATTAAATTAACTACAATCTTGAACGGTACCTCAAAGATATTATTATAGACTTTAATTATATGGTCTATACATCCTGACAAGTGATTTTAATAAGCCATTGACGCAACGATTGCAATGATTCGGCCGGATTACCATAGAGCAACCTACATAGATATGGGACAGGATCCCAAAACTATTGATGAACACTAAAATTGTGTAGTGTGTAGATCCTCGCGAACGAGTTTGATAAACCGATGATGCAGCGATTGCTATGATAGAGACCGATTATCTTCGAATGGTCTATGTAGAGAGGATGTCTGACGGTCTCGACGCACAGGAAAAATGGAAATGTTCGAGCACGTAATAAAAAGTTTACAAGGATAGGCGCGGACGAAAAAAGTTTCAAGGATCGGGGGATCTCCCCAGGATCTCACCTCGTTTCCACGGACCCTTGCCGCTAATCTTCAGCGTGCGTTAAATTTATGCGGGAGTGCGGACGTCAGACGGCGGCAATTAAAACTGTAATTGCAGGCGAGATTGGATGAAGAATATTCGATCCGCGGACCTCGTTTTAACGCACTGTCCCGAGTAAAAGTGACTGGGATTGTAATTTCACCCTTTCGAGGACTACTTTTAGCCTCGAACCTCGTCGTCTGTGTTGGCGAAGGATGCCGCCGCTGACGCGTCACGAACTTTCGTGACACACTTGTTTTTATTCGCTGCGTGTGCCTTCGCGAGAATTCTGTTGCGTTCAGTTCTGGTTCGAAGCGATTTTGACAAATTCAACCGGAAATTTTTGCCAATTTACGTTGAATAATGGAAGTACAAGCGGCGGTAGTTTCAAATAAAGATTTGAAAATAGTCTCGAACCATAAATAGAATACTTCTGTAGCAGGAAGTAGTTATATCGTGTGTGTGCCTTAAAGTAAGTCGTATGCACAAAGTGTCCTCGTAAATTCAATCTATTTTTTAACGATTCGTCAGTCTTATAGGTTAGAAATCGTAAAATCGCGAGGCTTGATACTCGCTCGTGCAGAATTATCGCGTGCGTGCCATCGGCATGACTGCTGCTCGATTTTCACCGGCGATGCGCGAGGCTCGGTCTGTTTTTTAAATGGAAAAATTCAAATTATCATACGTCCGAGGCGGAAAACATTTTCCCACTGGATTTCCGGTATGCTTTCCCTTAACGGTGCTCTTCTAGTAAGAAAAACCATTCCATTGATGTTCAGATATCCACACTGTGAATACCTTCAATTATTATTGATCGAGCAAGATTGCCCAGCAGCATCGGTCCGCAACTAAAATTTACTTCAATCTTAAATCCAAGACTACATTTACCTATCTCTAAGAAAATCATTTAAGAAAACGTTTATTGGGACCGCCCAGTCACGCCCAGTCGGTTCGAACCATTAGGTCCATCAAGAAATCGAAACATCGCGTTGATAGCAGTGTAACGTTATTCGTTAACAGATACAGATTCGATCGGATTAACGGGCTACCGTAACACGTCGCTTCCAAGTGATTTTAATTCCTAATTCTCCCTAAAATTCCGTCCTAAAACGCGATCCGTTCCGGCGAACGGCGCTTTTTTTTTACAGTTACCCGTTTCGATCGCACACGTAGATGCCACTTCACTGGAAGTGTCGATGTCCAGCATCCGCTTACACGTATATATTACGGTATTACTGTCGTCGACCTGTTCATCTCGCTTAAACGCAGCTCATCCCGTGATCGGGGCACGTGTTCCGTTGCACAGTCGGGTCGCGAAGGTATCGATTATCGAAAAGTGGACGATTGCGGCGATCTCGAGGCCGACTAATCGAACCAACGGGAACGAATCAATACGCGGAAGTTTGCTGCACCGCGGCCGTGTCGAGGGCCATTTTTGTATCGAGCTGTCGGAGGCCAGTCGGATAATTAATGGACATGTTTCCGATCTTTAACAGATCCAATGGCGTCGAAATGCCATTTATGCGAAACTATATTTATTATTCGATCACGGGGCAAAAGCAAAAGTGCGACTTCATCGAACATTGTCTGACATTTCGATTCTGGCTCTGGGCCCTCGTTAAGGAAACAGGTCCCGAGGAAAAGAAATTATAAAATTTATTGAAATTTATTTATTAAAGGCGACTTGGTTTTGTTTATTCGTGTTCGGTTCAAGTAGTGATAGAAGAACGTACAGATTCATAGAGTTTTATTTTTTCAGGGACGATTTATATGCACTTGTTTCGAATTAATGAACCTACCTCGAATTACCTTGAATTTAAAAAGAAAATGAATTTATTGGAAGCGAGGATATCGTTCTGGTTAATTATCGTTTCTTAGATCGCGAGTCGTGTATGCATTAAGGCAGGAATATTAATTGTACGTTTAATGAAGCTGCCAATGAAACTCAACTTTTAAATCTAAGTTTAATGAGAGTGGTTTGTACGTTTTAATGGAACGTGCTTCAGATTTCACGGAACATTAACTTTATTGTTTAATTTTCTGAATATTCAGAAGAAAATGGTAGAGACTCTTACGAGACACTTCATTGAAATAAATAAAAAATGGTTTTTGGATCATACTATCAGCCAAGATCTACTTTTTTCCCAAAGAAATTTTTCGTGTCTGTCCATAATAAATATTCCACATTTTTTACTTATACAGGGTGTGTTATACTAATTTGTCAAAAAAAAACATTTCTGGCCACATATATTTTCGGTAAAGAATTTTTTTCTCGAAAGTGCGTAGGATTTAGGGGGTGTGTCTATTCACCAAAAATGATTGTAATCGACCCCCTCAACTGAAAATAATTTTTTCAGAATGATTTGAAATTTTTTAATAACTTTTTAACGAAGCCCCAATCAACAAATTGATATTTTTGATTTTCGTCTTATTTTGCCCTCTAGAATTTCCCATTAAAATGTTTCCCAGGGGTGGCCGAACACCCTGTATAATGGCCGGATTCTACCACAATCCATGCAAATATATATTGTGCATAAAAAATTTCGAATAACGAATAGAAGGTAAACAATTTGTCGCGTGCTATAAGTTGGTCTAACTGGTTATCTATTGCTGGAATAAAATTCTGCCCCATCTCTGGCCCGAGGCAACGCGTATTGAGGTCGATAGACAGATTAAAACAGCATCACGCGTGTTGGTGAATCGCGCTGAGAAGCAATGCTCTTCTGTTCACGTTTGAAGCGTGGATCGTTCAACTTACAATTACCAAGTTCACGGCTCGTTTGCTGTCCGCCTTCGGCTTAATGGAAATCGAACAGACGGACGGAAGCCGTGCAACGAGAAACACCTCGGAAGTTCGCCCGCTGGGGAAAATCGTGTCGAACCTCTTCAAACCTTTCTCGTCGAGGATGACGACCGGAAAAATTCGCTTCGCGTTCCGAAGTAAAATTTCCGTCTCGTCTCGGGGAAGTGATTGGATGCGTCAAACAGAGTTGGGAAAATTGTATTCGATTCTGTTTTCTATTTATATCGTATCGTCATAGGTAATTTTCTAGCGCGTTCGCGCTTCTATCCAAAAAGGTTCAATAGTTAATTGGAAAAACAGTTTGTATTATTTATGGACTCTAGTTGTTGCTTATAAATTGGATGAAGTCTACACTTCTACTACGCGTGAAGTCAAATGGATGGTTGAGTAGCTAATTAGAACATATGCTGCCTAGAAAAAGTCACTATTATGGGAAACTAGATTACGTTTGCTTTTCTGACTACCTGTTGCCGGCACGGAATACCTCGACACATGTCTACAAAAAAAAAAAACTGTACCATTAGAACCTAGTTTATGTTTTGTATTCACGTAATATCTACAAATCTGGCGAAGCCTAACATCGAATTATATATAGACCCTAAAGGTGAACTAACTATTTAATAACAATTCGTGTTTATTGTACTGCACTGTAATTTCTAATTTATATTCGTATTTTCTGTTGCATTTGTGTACTCCAGTTTCATTGAACCCCGCTGATGAAGATCTGGCTACCTGTTATCTGGAAATCTCACGATGTCTGTGGCTACATGCGAAGTTAAGATGAAGGTTGAGTAGTTATTTAGAACGCATGCTGTTTATGTGAGAATTATGCTACAACAACCTAGTTTGTCTCTTCTATTTATATAATATCATTCTAGCTATTTTCCAGGTGCCATTTTCGAATTTCGTTCAACCTCACTGACAACAATTTGGCTACCTCCTATCTACGAATATAATGAATCGCAACTTTCAATCATGTATCAAACCTAAATGTTTCTCATGTCGTTTAAGACACGTGATTTCTACAGGCCTGCACTACAAGAGCATAGTTTCAATTTTCTATGTACATAATATTGTCGTAGTTCTCTGATGCATTTGCAGTCTATGAACCTCAGCTTTCTAATACATTTGCAAACTCTAACTGCTTTCATCCTCACTGATATAGATTTGGCTAGCTCTCGTCATAAACCCTATCGAGTCTGCCTTTCAAACTACACGTGGGGCCTGGAAAGATGATCGAGTATCAATTAGAACGCATGATATCTACAAAATGACTGCACTACAAGCACCTAGTTTGTGTTTTCTATTCATGTAATATCATCGTAGGCAGCTTTCTGATGCATTTGCCAATTCCAATTGCGTTCAACCTCGCTGGGAACGATTTAGCTACCTCTTATCCTCAAATTTAACGAGGTCTGTCTTTCAAATTACGCGTGAAATCAAAAGGGCAGACCAGTTGTCAATTAGAACACCTGATAGTCTTCGGTAGTCTATACAAATCTAGTTTCTATTCATAGAATATCGTCATAGGCACTTTCCTAACTTTGTTCAACATCACTGACGAGGATTCAGCTACCAATTATCAAAAGGGTAGTTCAGTTGTCAATTAGAACGCCTGATGGTCTTCAGAAGACTACTACAAG